GATTTTTTTAATTTAAGACTTAATTATACTTAGACTATAGAAATAGGAAGATATTCAGCTAAAACTACCTAATTTAGTAAAAACAATGCAATGATAAGCAGATTGAAAGACATTTTTTAAAATTTTTATATATGCAATAATGTATGAAGAATTCTATCGCCTAAGTAACCTCGGTTTAGGTATTATTGTGATTTTCCAGTTTCCCGGTGTATATTGGGGAAATAAAGTATGGGGAGGTATACTAGACGTAATTACAATGTATTTAAAACAATTTTAGACGAAATTTAGACAAAAGTAATTTTTTTAACGTGATTATAATATATAAATGATTTTTTTTTAATTTAAGACTTAATTATACTTAGACTATAGAAATAGGAAGATATACAGCTAAAACTACCTAATTTAGTAAAAACAATGCAATGATAAGCAGATTGAAAGACATTTTAAAATTTTTATATATGCAATAATGTATGAAGAATTCTATCGCCTAGTTAACCTCGGTTTAGGTATTATTGTGATTTTCCAATTTCCCGGTGTATATTGGGGAAATAAAGTATGGGGAGGTATACTAGACGTAATTACAATGTATTTAAAACAATTTTAGACGAAAATTTAGACAAAAGTATTTTTTTAACGTAATTATAATATATAAATGAATTTTTTAATTAAGACTTAATTATACTTAAGACTATAGAAATAGGAAGATATACAGCTAAAACTACCTAATTTAGTAAAAACAATGCAATGATAAGCAGATTGAAAGACATTTTTAAAATTTTTATATATGCAATAATGTATGAAGAATTCTATCGCCTAAGTAACCTCGGTTTAGGTATTATTGTGATTTTCCAATTTCCCGGTGTATATTGGGGAAATAAAGTATGGGGAGGTATACTAGACGTAATTACAATGTATTTAAAACAATTTTAGACGAAATTTAGACAAAAGTATTTTTTTAACGTGATTATAATATATAAATATTTTTTTTAATTTAAGACTTAATTATACTTAAGACTATAGAAATAGGAAGATATACAGCTAAAACTACCTAATTTAGTAAAAACAATGTTAATGATAAGCAGATTGAAAGACATTTTTAAAATTTTTATATATGCAATAATGTATGAAGAATTCTATCGCCTCAGTAACCTCGGTTTAGGTATTATTGTGATTTTCCAATTTCCCGGTGTATATTGGGGAAATAAAGTATGGGGAGGTATACTAGACGTAATTACAATTGTATTTAAAAAAACAATTTTAGGACGAAATTTAGACAAAAGTATTTTTTTAACGTGATTATAATATATAAATGAAATTTTTTTAATTTAAGACTTAATTATACTAAGACTATAGAAATAGGAAGATATACAGCTAAAACTACCTAATTTAGTAAAAACAATGCAATGATAAGCAGATTGAAAGACATTTTTAAAATTTTTATATATGCAATAATGTATGAAGAATTCTATCGCCTAAGTAACCTCGGTTTAGGTATTATTGTGATTTTCCAATTTCCCGGTGTATATTGGGGAAATAAAGTATGGGGAGGTATACTAGACGTAATTACAATGTATTTAAAACAATTTTAGACGAAATTTAGACAAAAATATTTTTTTAACGTGATTATATATATACACATGAAATTTTTTTAATTTAAGACTTAATTATACTTAGACTATAGAAATAGGAAGATATAACAGCTAAAACTACCTAATTTAGTTAAAACAATGCAATGATAAACAGATTGAAAGACATTTTTAAAATTTTTTATATGCAATAATGTATGAAGAATTCTATCGCCTAAGTAACCTCGGTTTAGGTATTATTGTGATTTTTCAATTTCCCGGTGTTTATTGGGGAAATAAAGTATGGGGAGGTATACTAGACGTAATTACAATGTAATTAAAACAATTTTAGACGAAATTTAGACAAAAATATTTTTTTAACGTGATTATAATATATAAATGATTTTTTTTAATTTAAGACTTAATTATACTTAGACTATAGAAATAGGAAGATATACAGCTAAAACTACCTAATTTAGTTAAAACAATGCAATGATAAGCAGATTGAAAGACATTTTTAAAATTTTTATTTATGCAATAATGTATGAAGAATTCTATCGCCTAAGTAACCTCGGTTTAGGTATTATTGTGATTTTCCAATTTCCCGGTGTATATTGGGGAAATAAAGTATGGGAGGTATACTAGACGTAATTACAATGTATTTAAAACAATTTTAGACGAAATTTAGACAAAAGTATTTTTTTAACGTGATTATATTTGTGGCGACACGGACCTGCCGGTGACGACACTCTGGATCAGAACAGGATGATGTTCTGCCGATAAAACGATCGGTTCAACGATATTCAAATGAAACGCATAATGGGCCTGGACAACAACAAGCACTTACCGGTCGTACTGTGGCAATCCAAGCCGAGGTGCCTGTCGAGGTTTAACGCCGTATCTTCGTGGATGGCGGCAGAGCTAAGTTGGGCAGCCCGCACAGACTTTGTGCTATAAGCTGGTATATGGACGCGACACTGTTCACACTATTGAATTCACTTCGAGTTAAGGGTTGTATGTGGTTCGCGTGTTCTCTTAGAGCAGGAATAGACTATGGGCGTATTTTAAATAGAAAACGAATTTTATAGCGGCGCCTGTACCGGTAGCAACACATCACCATTCATTCCAGCCCGGAACCAATCAAAATGCAGTACGATCAGTATGTTCATTACGTGAACCTTGGTATTGGCCAGGTCCGCCGCGTGACATTCAAATAGGATTGAACCCAACGTAATTGAATGGAGAATGAACATACCGCCCACCAAAATACAGCTGGTATTTTCCAGATTAATAGGTAAATAATAATAAAAAAAAACGATAATCTAAGTATAAAATAATAATAGTATAAGGTATATTGTATATGTATGTGTTACGAATAATATATGCTACGACTGATAATGTTATAGTATAAAATATGATATATGTTAAAAACGTTAGTTTAGTATACAATAGCTCAAGATCATGTGAATTACGATTCGATAGGAAGAGGGCATAGCTTTACAAGAGGTCGTTTAATCAAGCTTTCCTTAGTTTTAACGGTTGCTATTCGGACGATACCATCCGGACCGGGATGCAACTCCGTCACCCTTCCTAAAGACCATTGCAATGGAGCACGATTGTCATCCTTTATCAAAACAACAGCATTTACATCGAGTGGCTTAGAGGTCTTTGTCCATTTAGCACGTAAGGTTAATGAGTGTAAATATTCGTTTTTCCAACGAAACCAAAAATTCTGTAGGAAGGACTGAATTAACTGCCAACGGGTTAATCTATGAAGTTTTATATTAGTATAATCTACATCTGGGACGGTCGTAAGAGGTTCTAAAGTCAAGAAATGACCAGGAGTTAGAACATTTAAGTCATTTGGATCGGTACTTAACGCATAAAGAGGTCTCGAATTTAGCACTGCTTCAATTTGAACAAATAGCGTGGACAGTTCTTCGAAAGTTAAAACCTGATTACCTATAATGCGATACAGATGAGATTTGGCCGCTTTGATTTGAATTTCCCACACACCACCAAAGTGAGGGGCTGACGGAGGGTTAAATTCAAATTTAATTCGTTCCGTATGCAAGGCATTCTTTAGTAAGGATAGATGATTGCTCACACCTATGAAATTTGTTCCACAATCTGCATGGATCACATTACAACGACCACGACGTCCAACAAAACGACGCAATGCTGCCAAAAATCCATCAGCTGACAACGATGATACGACTTCCAAATGGACGGCTTTTGTAGCTAAACATACAAATAAACAGAGATAAGCCTTATCTATTTTGGCTCCACGATGTGTACCTTGTTTGATACGGAAAGGTCCGCCGAAGTCAACACCCACGATAGAAAATGGTTTCACTTGATTAACACGAAATGAAGGAAGATCGCTCATGTATGGCTCTAACGATTTAGGTTTTGTTCTAAAGCATCTAATACATTGGGAAAGACAACGTCGTATAACACGTTTAGCTGACAATATCCAGAACCGTTGCAATATTAAGTAGTGCGTAGTATTATGCCCCGTATGGCAATGTTGACGGTGTATGGATTCGATAACCCTATAAGTAAATTCATGGTTACTAGGTAAAAGAGCGGGATGTCGGTGTTCGAATTCAAGACCAGCACGGGATATCCGACCGCCCACCCTGAGAATACCATCCTCATCCAGAAACAGATTTAATTTACGCAACGGTTTTGGTAGTGGTTGCTTTGCTCGAAGCCGTTGAATTTCACCAGCAAATGACGAAGATTGGACAAATTTCACGATAAATAACAATGAGTTATGATTTTCGGTTTCAGTTAGAATTGAGCCTCTATGACGATCATGTGGATTTTTCGTATTATGTATAAATCGTCGAATATAAGAAACGATGTGCATTATTTTTTCTAACGACGAATATAATTTTATTAAATTGAGGATAAGAGTGCCATACTCATCTTCTGAACAAGTAGCCAAAACAACTGTACGGCGCTCTTCAGCTCTTACGATGTTTTCGTCCTCAGAACTATAAGATTGAGAAGTTTTTCTATTGGTTGGCCATTGATCGGACGGTTTTACTAGCCACACTGGCCCTGACCACCATAATGAGTTATGAAATAGATCATAAGGAAGATTCCCACGTGAACAAATATCCGCAGGATTGTCTGAAGACGCTACGTGATGCCATACCTCCGTAGAGAAAATATCCTGGATATGTCCCACACGATTAGCTACGAACGTGGTCCATCGAGAGGAGTGTGAACGAAGCCAAGATAGGACGACGGTCGAGTCAGACCATAGATAAATAGCGTGGAGCGTTAATTTTGTTAAGTATGTATCCAGCACAAATTTTGCTAAATTTGTCAGCAAGACGGCTGCACACAACTCCAATCGAGGCAAAGAGATTTTCTTAATGGGAGCTACTCGAGCTTTGGCACATACTAATCGTGTTTGTGTTAATCCGTCTGCAGTTGAAACTCGAATATAAATAACTGCTCCATACGCAAGCTCCGAGCTATCACAAATCCATGTAATTCGTACGTTAAAGTGTTGTTAATTGTCATACACCGTGGTATACGCAGGTCCTTTAATATAGACAGCTGATTGCAAAATGTTTCCCACACGCTATTCACATCTTCGGGTGGATCACTGTCCCAATCGATACCAAGCAGCCAGAGCCGTTGCAAGAGGCACTTCGCCTTGATGGTTAGAGGTGCAAGGAAACCTAAGGGGTCGAAGATCTTCGCGATCTCGCTAAGAATAACTCGTTTTGTACAAGGTCGGATTGAAGATTTAACATCAAAGGAAAATGTATCGGTAGTTGGCTCCCACTTTAAACCAAGCACCTTTAGGCTACAAGAGTCATGGCCGGTAAATGTTTTGGAACTAAGCAGACATTCTTCCTGAGGAATATCAGAAAGTAACTCTGGTATGTTACTGGCCCACTTCCTCAACTGGAAATGCCCTAATTCCAAAAGCTCTATAATTTGTGCTTTAGCCTCTAGAGCCTCGTCCAGAGTCTCACAACCGGTTACAATGTCGTCAACATAAATCTCGCTATGCAGAATTTGGTTTGCTAGAGGAAATGCAGAGCCTTCATCCTCAGCTAGCTGTTTAAGAGTTCTACATGCTAGAAACGGTGCAGAGGAGACTCCGTAGGTGACAGTATTTAACCTGTATTCCTGCAAAACTTCACCAGGGCTAGACCTCCAAAGAATCCGTTGATAATCTCTATGATTATCAGCTACAAGAATCTGTCTATACATCTGACGTATATCCGCTAAAAACACAACTACGTGTAAACGAAAAAGGAGAAGAACCTGCACTATATCACTCTGAAGCTTAGGGCCTGTCAGTAGCGTGTCGTTTAACGACCTACCGCTGGCGTCTCGGGCCGATGCATCGAAAACAACGCGAAGTTTTGTGGTGCTACTATCTGGTTTAACAATGCAGTGATGTGGTATATAATATTTACCTTCACCGAGCTCCTTCACGGGGACAAGCGTCATATGGCCACTCTTCTCATAGTCCCTCCATGAATTCTGAATACTGCTTATATAATGTCGGATCGCGGGAGAGACGGTTCTCAATGGCCTTGAAACGCCTTAAAGCAAGACTACGAGAATTCTCAAACTTTGGCTCTATACCATCCTTAAAAGGTAACTGAACTCCGTATCTGCCTGTTGAATCACGATAATGGTCGGTGACATATGCCTTTTCACATGCCATATCTAGTGGTGTGAGAATTGATGCTTGAGGAACATTATCAATCTCCCAGAAGCGTTGAACCATAGAAGTCAGCTCGTCGGATTTGGCTGTATATTGTAATAAGGACGAGGATGTGAGGTGTGTTCTACCTAATAAAAGCCATCCAAAGACTGAATTCATCGCAACAGGTTGATTAGACCGACCCTTCATACATTGGTCCAATAGAGAATCAGCGAATATATCTGCACCAAGCAAAATATCGATAGGCCCAGGTATATCGAAACCTGGATCTGCCAAGGGTAACGATTGAATGTGAGACCAACCATTCGTATTAAGTTTAGCAATAGGCTGATCGCCACAAATAGTTGATATGACATGCATGTCAACATCGAATAAAACCTTGTTGTTTGATGCGAGTGAACAACGAACCATGTGACTGACATCTGCAGACACTCCACCTAAACCGTTAATATTTGCATCGCATGGTACTTGTTTAATATTTAAGGTTCGAGCGGCGTCACAAGTAATTAAATTGTTTTGGCTGCCAGTATCAAACAGTGCCCGAAAACAATGATACCGACCCTTTTCATCTACTATCTGCACTATAGCGGTAGCAAGAAGAACAGTTGTGTTTAGTGAAGATTTTGTACATAATTCGTAACCAGAGGCCTTGGCGATTAAGGACACAGAACGAGACGGGGTATCGGTAGATTGCTCTTTGTGAAGCAATGTGTGATGTTTATGTTTACATTTAAGGCATCGGAAAATCGACTTACACTCTTTTAATTGATGAGATGATTTAAGGCAGTTGAAGCACCATCTTTTTTCGTTTGCAACAGACATGCGTTCATCTACCGATTTTGATAGAAATCGCTTACAATGTGCAATTGAATGAGTAGCATCTGTGCAAAACGAGCATTTAGGCATAACCTTGGAGTTGTCATGCCGCGTTTCTCCAGTTTTTAGTTTATCATCCGAATGACTAGAGACTAATGTGTGAGTAACAGGACGACGTTTAACAATATTAGAAGTAGGCCTAATCGAATCCTTTACAACATGAAAAGCGGCTTTAGTAGCTTCAGAAAAATGATTATCTCGTATAAGCGCTTCACATCTTGAATGTAAAAACTCTTTTAAATTAATATATTTAGGAAATTCAGAACTACAACAACTTTCTTCGAAATCCCGGCGCAACTTCGATTCTAATTTCGATAGAACATGATAAACGATTATAAATTCCCATTGCTCAACAGGTAAATTTAACTTTCTTAAAATACTCAAATTCTCATCAATACTGTCCAAGCTACGACGAAAGTCATTTATATTTTGAATTTTCAAATTTACATTTAAAATATCCTTCCAACAGATATAAGCTAATTCACGAGTATTCTGATAGCGCGCGATTAACGCGGCATACGCATCTGAATAATAGTCACCGGTTACGGGAAACACACGAATAAGTGACAACGGATCGCCGCTTAACGAAGAGATTAAATAATGAAATTTCTCAACGTCCGTTATGGAGTTACAATTATGTATAAGAGCGTTAAATGTATCGATAAACTCAGGCCACTTCTTTATATTGCCTGAAAAACTCGGTAATTGGATTTTCGGTAAGCGTACATGAGACAAAGGAGATTTGATGTTAGAACTCGTGCCAGCCGACATATTAGACGTGTCAGATAAATTCAATTCACCTCTCGTTAAACTACGAAGTATAGCCATGACTTGAAAGTATGCATCGTCAAAACGCGCACGTATGTCATCATCATCACGCTGCCATCACACGAGTCCAAAAGTTCGAGTATAAAGAAATGCGCTTCTTCAAACTCAGACACAAACTTTTTTGCCTGATCGCAGTACGAGAAAAAAAGGTCACAGTGAACCTCATCGCCTTTTGCTTTCTTACCGATTTCCAATGCTTTTAACATACGATTTAATGCAATAGTACGTTTCCTTTTGAGAGATGGTAAGTCATGAACAGTATAGCATTCTGTTCCCGTCTGTTTTATCTTCGATTTACTAGAAGTATTAAGTTTACGGCTACTACGTTTTGGATTAAACGACATTTTGTAAAATAAAAAGAAAATATAATGGTTACGAGATAACTGTAATAAAGCAATATAATGTTATAAGCGAATAATAGTTATAACTACGTATAAGTTGTCTTTAACTTGCAATTCTCTAATTAGTCATATGCGCGTCTTACTGCGCGACGGTGGCGTGTATGAGTACAATGCAACGTAGGTATATCTTGCGAAGGAACAAATATTTAGATGTAAATACGTTGATTGAGTTTCGTTATGTTGTGAGTTAGTGAATATTAAATTGCTACAGCCGATTAAGATTATATAAACACCGTATAAATGTATAGATTGTTTATATTTGATCTGTAACTATCTAACATTCTACGTATAAGAAAGTGCACGAATCATCTGCGATAGGTAGTTATATTATTTAAACTGTATGCAGATTTTATAACGTATTATTAATAATAACGAACGAAGTTAAGTGAAAATGTGAACGTTGCAATTGAATGTGAATGATATTCAAAAGTGGTGAACAAGATGTCGGTTAGTGAAGGAGCGTATTAAGGTACAGTATTAAGTATGATGTATGAGACAATGGCCGAAAGTAGGTATAGATTATTTTTATATTTTATATATTACAAAAAAGTATGCTTTGTAATGTTGTAAAATTATGTATTATGAGTAATACTTTCGACTAGAGTAGGTAGTATACTTATTACTTTACGGACAAAAAATACCAGCTATATTAACGAATTCAAATACGGCAAGCGATATAACTAGGCACCTTTGTTCCCGGGTTTCGGCACCAAAAGATGTGGCGACACGGACCTGCCGAGGGTCCGGTGACGACACTCTGGATCAGAACAGGATGTTCTGCCGATAAAACGATCGGTTCAACGATATTCAAATGAAACGCATAATGGGCCTGGACAACAACAAGCACTTACCGGTCGTACTGTGGCAATCCAAGCCGAGGTGCCTGGTCGAGGTTTAACGCCGTATCTTCGTGGATGGCGGCAGAGCTAAGTTGGGCAGCCCAGCACAGACTTTGTGCTATAAGCTGGTATATGGACGCGACACTGTTCACACTATTGAATTCACTTCGAGTTAAGGGTTGTATGTGGTTCGCGTGTTCTCTTAGAGCAGGAATAGACTAGTGGGGCGTATTTTAAATAGAAAACGAATTTTATAGCGGCGCCTGTACCGGTAGCAACACATCACCATTCATTCCAGCCCGGAACCAATCAAAATGCAGTACGATCAGTATGTTCATTACGTGAACCTTGGTATTGGCCAGGTCCGCCGCGTGACATTCAAATAGGATTGAACCCAACGTAATTGAATGGAGAATGAACATATTATACATATAAATGATTTTTTTTAATTTAAGACTTAATTATACTTAGACTATAGAAATAGGAAGATATACAGCTAAAACTACCTAATTTAGTAAAAACAATGCAATGATAAGCAGATTGAAAGACATTTTTAAAATTTTTATATATGGAATAATGTATGAAGAATTCTATCGCCTAAGTAACCTCGGTTTAGGTATTATTGTGATTTTCCAGTTTCCCGGTGTATATTGGGGAAATAAAGTATGGGGAGGTATACTAGACGTAATTACAATGTATTTAAAACAATTTTAGACGAAATTTAGACAAAAGTATTTTTTTAACGTGATTATAATATATAAATGATTTTTTTTAATTTAAGACTTAATTATACTTAGACTATAGAAATAGGAAGATATACAGCTAAAACTACCTAATTTAGTAAAACAATGCAATGATAAGCAGATTGAAAGACATTTTTAAAATTTTTATATATGCAATAATGTATGAAGAATTCTATCGCCTAAGTAACCTCGGTTTAGGTATTATTGTGATTTTCCAGTTTCCCGGTGTATATTGGGGAAATAAAGTATGGGGAGGTATACTAGACGTAATTACAATGTATTTAAAACAATTTTAGACGAAATTTAGACAAAAGTATTTTTTTAACGTGATTATAATATATAAATGAAATTTTTTAATTTAAGACTTAATTATACTTAGACTATAGAAATAGGAAGATATACAGCTAAAACTACCTAATTTAGTAAAAACAATGCAATGATAAGCAGATTGAAAGACATTTTTAAAATTTTTATATATGCAATAATGTATGAAGAATTCTATCGCCTAAGTAACCTCGGTTTAGGTATTATTGTGATTTTCCAGTTTCCCGGTGTATATTGGGGAAATAAAGTATGGGGAGGTATACTAGACGTAATTACAATGTATTTAAAACAATTTTAGACGAAATTTAGACAAAAGTATTTTTTTAACGTGATTATAATATATAAATGATTTTTTTTAATTTAAGACTTAATTATACTTAGACTATAGAAATAGGAAGATATACAGCTAAAACTACCTAATTTAGTAAAAACAATGCAATGATAAGCAGATTGAAAGACATTTTTAAATTTTTTATATATGCAATAATGTATGAAGAATTCTATCGCCTAAGTAACCTCGGTTTAGGTATTATTGTGATTTTCCAGTTTCCCGGTGTATATTGGGGAAATAAAGTATGGGGAGGTATACTAGACGTAATTACAATGTATTTAAAACAATTTTAGACGAAATTTAGACAAAAGTATTTTTTTAACGTGATTATA